GCGTGAATCCCTGGATCAATGCAGCATCCAGGTGTTAGCCCATGCCTCCAATTGCATTCGCATAAAGCTCTCGGTGATGCTCAACCTTTAGGTCTGCCTGTCTCAGTTAAAGTCTCCCTGAGTCCAGGCTACAAAAGCTGTTCAAAACCCCTTCACACAGAAAGCTGCTGGCTAAACTGTGACCCATTCGTGATAGAGCAGGAGCCACAAGAAGCTGGTGAACGGCTTCTTCTGGCACTGGACAAGCAGTTCTGCTGCTCCAAGCACCGGGGCAGTGAGCCACCTAATTGGAATCAGGGTATGTCTCACCATAAAAAATCTCTTCTCCTGAAGAAAGTGACAGTATTAGCAAAGCTGTATAAAAGCTGTGGTTTTGTCCAATAGCTTCATGTAGAGGATAACAGGCACCTCCACAGGGGCTGTTCTTTGATTTTCACATCCACTACCCCGCTGCCCCATTGCAGACTTGTGTCTGCCTGTGCCATCATGCCAAGGAAGCGTGTCTGCACAGCAGCTAGCTGGCTGGCCGAACGCTGCTTGTGCTGGACATCGCTCGTGCTGGCTATCAAAGGGCTCGCTCTGCTGGCCTTGCTCTGCCTCCACCCGCAGCACCCCAGCTGGAGCAGGGGCACATCGCTCAGGCCAGCTGCCAGCTCTGCAGGGAGGCTCTGAGCTGGAGCTCCCGGTGCAGACAGGCGAGATAGCCACAGGTGGCAACAAACCATCATTTGGGCAGTAACAGGGGCTCGCCTTGTCAGCGTCTGGATCAGCCTGGTAAAGTAAATATCAGCTCTGTTTCACTGGTCTCCCCACCATAGCAAAGAAGAACTGAAATCCTTCACATTTACCCCTATGCTGAGATGAAAATTTAAGAGCTCCAGCTGGTGGTGAGCGATATAAGAGCTGAGGACTCCTGCGGCACTTCACGTGTGTTAGGTCCTGAGATCGGACAGGCTCATGGGCAGAGATCTTCCTCAAACTGGAGTTGTATTTCCACATTCATCCACATTCATGCTCGGTCCCTGATTTCCCACCTGCCAGCATCACGGACAAGGAGTTTCAACAGCAGCCTCCAGCTTTTTCCATACTTTATGTGTTCTGGGATATTTCCTTAATGAGCAATGATCTCTTTAGCAGGATATAAAGCATGGATTTCTTCTCTCTCAAAACATAAAGAGATACTTACTGGAAAATCAAACAGATCATGAAGCCTAAGGTAACCCATCTGCAATACGTCTGCCTCTGCCTTTCAGACCTCGGCAGCATACACAGGGCTATGGCTGTGGCACTCTGCAAATCCACTTTCAGAATGTACTGCATGCAAAATAGCTCACAGAGACTTAAATACGTTAATAACTTAAGAACCTAAATAAGCTGATATTTGATGTGACCTACATTAATGGGGAGGCATTACACGGCAGATAAGCAGAAAGTTCTCATCTATTGTATAATACATGATTTATTCATACCATAAACATATCGAGAAAAAGGATATGCTCTGGCATTCCCTCTACTTATTTTTCCCACAGAAAAAAAAAAAATACTAATGTAAGAAGATCATGCTGGTGAGAAGATATTCATATCACAACAGCAACAGACTTAGTGGCAGGGCTGCCAGATACTGCTTTATGGTTGGAAAGATATAGAGAAAAGCACATAGGTTGCACCACAGTGCACCCATAATTCTAACTACCAGCCTAAGAGTGGAAGCAGTTCGTAGAAGAGGCTAATGGCTTTACCCTGACTGATATCATTGCATTAATAAAAATCATCAATAAAAGCATCAATTCCTGCTGTAATGTAAATGAGACAGTAGCAGAGTATGCACTGCAGCTGCAAGATAAGGCACTAGAAAGATATCTAAATTTTTGGTTAATTCTAGATGTCAAGATAATTGGATTTTCCAAATTAAACCTTTCTGTATTTAAAGAGGATTAAGGTTAGGGACTGTAGCAGAGACAGCTACTGTCACTGTTACAAAGAATTTGCTGCTACAGTGCCATTTCTCTTTTTCTATGCTTTGTCTGCTCTAAGCAGGCAAAATGGCAAAAGCTTCATAAAGTGTTGAAGTAGTTACATCATTTGCAATCACAAGGATTGGCATGGGAAAGCATTGTTTCTTATGCATCTACCTATTTGTGTTATGAGCTCTTAAGAGAATTTTAGTGGGTATTGAAGGGACAATATAAGATTGTTTAGGCTAAAGCTTAGCTTTTATTAAAAGGCCTGTGAAATTTAACATTACTAAATACGGTAGAGTATAAGGATATTGCAGAACCAATTGCTCAGAGAAGAGGGCTACGTGATGTTGGGTCAAATATATGCTTAAACTCTTGCTCAAAGCTTTTTTTTTTTTTTCTTTAGGAATGTCTTCTGACTCTTTAATCTCATGATAGCAATATACATCCCTCAAACCTTGTGAATGCTTCTGTTTCATGAAAGAATTAACTGGTATTTTAATAGAAGTGCTGACAATATAAATACTCCTTGAGACACTTTGTCTCCAGATGGTTTCTCAGCAGAAGTTCTCTGATTCCCCACACTTCCAAAACAGGGATATAAACCTCCTGACATAACAGAGAGTGAGTCAGTCCCGCAAGTACAAAAAGAAATCTTCCCTATCATCAGATTATTCTGCAGTGTCTTCTGAAGAGACTTCTTGCATCTTCACTGAAGCAATAGATGCTGTCCACTGCTGAGGTAAACCAGCACATTTGGTGGACTCATGTCAAGCACAGTCCTTCCATTGCTGACCGTTGTGAGAGGAGCTCCTTCTGGTTTAATGTCTTCTCAAGGCCTTTATTTTTTCTGACCCTGCTGGAGTTAAGTCTGGAGTGTAACAGCATGTGATGAGATATCACTGCAGATTCCACTTGCAAGATATGCCAAAAAAAATTATTTTTCTTTATCAACTTCATCAGTTTACCTGCTGTCCCCATTCTTACCTGCCATCCCCAGGCTCTCAAAGAGCCTGGCACTTCACCACCACATGGTCAGAACAGCAAAGTTCTCGCTGATGTATCTGAGGGGACATCGCAGAGATGGCCCTTTCCTTCACGTTGAAAGACACCAAAACACATGCAAATGGGAAAAAACAGTTGTCCTATCCTCTCTCCAAGGGCTCTGTTCAAAGCCCATTGGAGCTCTTGCAAATATCTCCAAAGTTTGGCTGCATCTTGAGTAACTGCACTGTGTACGATATGACAGACAATGTTCTACAGGCAGTACCATTTCCTGGACACGATGCCAGATACTCATCCGTGGGTACGGACTTCAGTGCATAAAGGCTTAAGGAGCAAAGTCCATAGGGATTTCATCATATAAAGTTTTCTGCTCCAAAGTTTTTATGGGCTAAAGTTTTATGTCCTTAAAGTCTTTAGCCCATAAAAATCCAAGAGGATAATAAAACAAATAGCATCTATGTCCAGGGTCTTATGTCCAGGGTATTATGCTCTTGGGTAATAATAATACCTTCAGTAGCAGTATTGACCAGAAACTGCAGATCTATTTTTTTTTTCCCTTTGGCTGACATTTTGCCATTGCTGCCCTCTGAGCTAGTCAGTATTTGCATGCGGTACAGAGCAGCCATGGGTACACAGTAACGCAAAGACATTATAGGTGTGACTTTGAACTGGTCTTGAGGGTGACAGAGGCAAAAGTGAAGTTTGCAGACAAATACCAGTAAAAATATTCCCCAAATCCTGCAGAATACAGACCTTGTCTGGCCCAACCACTCAAAGTTTCATCTCACTGCCTCACTCCATATATTTTATGTCTGAAATGTATGGATACACCCAAAATCACATTCACACACTCATATTCATCCAGATTAGAAAATGGCTGCCAAACTAGCCAGAATACACAACAAAACAAAGGAGCAAGAGAGGACTTGTCAATAAAACACCAAACTAATCCCATTCTGATAATTTCTGCAATCTAGGAGATCCATACGCTTTGTTAAAGATATATATAGAGATATATATTATCATAGAATCATAGAATCATTTAGGTTGATAAAGACTTTTAAGATCACCACTAAAGCATGGTCCTTAGTGCCATGTACACACGTCTTCTCTCATCTTTTTCTGATCACCTCTGTTAAACTTGTGTTATTATTGTCTCTATTAACCCCATTCATGCTTTTGCTGAGACAAAATAACTAAGTCTTACAGCTTTTCCAGTTTCCAGAAAGGACTGTCCATGTCAGGAAGACTAAATCTTTGTTAGCAACAGACACAGCCAAAGCAGAGCTCAATTTGGTCTTACAGAAACCCCAACCCAGGAGGAATCACAGCTGAACCTCGCTTGCACTGATCGATAGAGAGCACAGAGTTTACAGGCTGGTGGCTCCTCCAGGGAGCTCCAACGCCAGTTCATTGGGGTCCACTGAGTGTGAAATCCGTGTCCCCGAATAAAGCCAGCACAATGCATCATTTGAGTCATTTTTAAGGGATGACAAGGTTCATAAGCTTCGTGTTGCCCTCCGCACAGGAGTGAATTTTACTCTTAATGCAAATGGTGTTTGAATGCAATATTTTAAGACTAATATTCCGTATAGACACAGTGTTTGATTCATGCCAACCCAAGGGGTAATATGAATGCTTAGTATTGTTTAACCAGCTCCCAAGGACTGAATAAAACCCTCAGATGAAAGATGTGACCTTCAGAGAGCATAGAATCACTTTTTCTTTTCATCTAAAAGATAATTTATCTAATACTTTTCTCCTCATTGAAGACATAGGCTTGCTGCACTGAAAACTGTTTACAAATGTTCTTTCTCCATTAAATTGATTTTCTGAGTATAGATAGGCAGTGTTTTCTGGAACTAATTTAAATTCTCTTCTAATTAATATTCAAGACCAAAATATGTTATCTTTGCATGACTGTGCAATTATTAAAGGCAAAATATCATCTGTGAAAGTAATTATTTTCCTTTCTTTTTTTTTTTTCCTTTAACTAGCCGTTAACCAACATGAAACATATCATTTCTTTCACTTTAGGCTATGATTGAAGAAGCCATCACTAGAGAAGAATCTTTTTCGGTCATGTACACACCATTTGTGAAAAAAATCAAGGTTGACAAAACTGACAAGATAAAGGACACATTTGCTAAAAAGCACCCTGACTATGTGGAGCACATATATACAGGTAAGAGCAGATTTCATATGCTGTTAAGCACTGCATACTGTTTGCCTGTGTGTGGCTGACTTAAAAGGAGCTTGAGAGAGTCTGGAGCTTGAGTCTTTAAATGTCTGCACTTCTGTGGGGGAAAATTAACTTCTGAGATTTGCTGTATGATTGTACATGATTTAGGTAATCAAATCAGTACTTAGGCAAAGCACAGACTTTACACTGTAAATCCCCACAAAGACTATTTTTATCCATGAAGCCTCGTGTTCCAGTTGTTGAATTTCATTATTGCAAGAGCTCTTTTGTTCAGAGGCACTTTTGCAGTGTCTTGTGGCAACAGCGAGGCCCAGGTTCATTCCCATCTCTCTGGCTTCCCATCAGTAACTGCCCCCAAAGCAGGCCCTTTGTTTTCCAAAAATATCCACCTTTCTGTGAGCACTAGTGAAGGGATTGTCACCTTTGGGAGCGTTTCAGCTGCAGGGATGGGAATAGGTTTCCTTTGGGCTGTTGGAGACAAATAGTATCCAGCGTTAACATGGGCTTCGAGGGGCCTGTTGTCTCCCGGAGGACTGAAGTCAAGTAGCATCTCCTGGAGTAAACAGACATTTAAATTCTGGTGACCACAGCTTTATTTCAAGAGGAATGGGCACGACGTTTTGCCAGAGGAGAGGCAGGAGGATAAAAGGCATTTCCTACACCATTAACCTGGTGACTTGGAACGCGGTTGACTCTGATAAAACTTGGCTCAGTTGGTGGTTGAAAAACATAAGAGGAAATGTACATTTCCCAGGTCAAATTCTGGGTGGTCTCTGTCTTCATCACACCAACGAGACCTGTAGCTCACTCCTCGTGGCCGCTTCCCGCGGGGCGGTTCGAAGAGCTGCCATATGCCAGCTCCCCATGAGAATTACACCGGGGTCGGAGCCAACGGCAGCACCTGCTGAGCCCACCACTCTGCAGGAGAATACGGCTTCCAGAACAGCACACATTGCACCTCTGGGGAGAAACAGAACATCTGCCTGAATTCAAGTGGGAACTGGGGAAACCAAGTTTTTAACACAAAGCTGCAAATATTTAACACGAGTAAACTTGGCTTGTTCATTTCATTTTCCTTTAGAAAACCAGTATAAAACTAGATCATGTTTTGCAAGTTGCAGAGCACCCATGCATTGGTTTTCTGGCAGTAATTCGGGGATTTTTTGAAGAGGAAAAATGGGACTTATTTATCGTGGAAGTTGTAAAGTCCCTGTCTACCATTTACTTGCTGATGTGACTTTGTGGAGAGTTTCCAGGGACAAAAGTATTGGCATTAAAGGGAGCATAAAATAAAACTCCCTGAATCTGATTTGAAAAAAAAGATAAATTCAGATTTCACATAACTCCCTCAATTTATAGCAAGGGTGAGACTTTCAAAAGCACATAAGCAGCAAAAGCGTGCAAGTGTTGCACTGAAATTCAGTTGTGTTCATAAATTACAGGATGTTTCTGAAAGTGTCACCAGGCATTTTCTCACTCCTAACCAAGAAAGAAAAGGAGGAAAGAATGAAAGGATGAAAGGGCTTGGTCCTGTAGCACTTCAATCAATTATAAAACAGATTGAATAGAGCCAGGTCTGCACTCAAGGGTGTTCGTTTACAAAAATCGGTAGGTTAAAAGAATTGCTTCAATCCTATGCAAGTTTCTCTGAGTGCAGGCCCTGGAATCACTAGTTTCTAGGAATTAAATGGGATAGCCAAGATCATAACTGTGTATATTGTGTTTCTGCTTCTAAGCAATGCAAAAGAAAAAAAAAAAAAAAAAAGAAAGAAAGAAAGAAAAAAAAAAAGGGTGTCAGGGTTCTGAGACTGCAGTGTGTGGGAGGTGCTGACTGAGAGCCCCAGGGGCTGCCACACAGTTTTCATGATGGTCCTCATGCGGGCAGGAGTCTCCTGACCTCCCTCTTCTGTGTCCTGGAAACCCTCTCAGAGAGAACTTTTCTTGGCCTCAACACTGAGGTAACTTACAAGGGTATTACCTGAAGTCAACTGAAGTAGTAGTGGTTTCTTAGCTTATCTATCCAGACCTATCCCCCCCCCCCCCCCCCCCCAAAAAAAATAAAATTAAATTAAATTAAAAAAAAAAAAAAAAAAAACAAGGAAAAAGTTGTACCCATTGTAGGTGATTGTAGGTGTTGTACTACCAAGCATTCAATCTGCAGGTCCATATCTCACATAGGTGAAATTACAAGTATGAGCTAATCCCCCTTTTAACAGTGGGTTTGAAATACCAGGCACATCACGAACATGTTATTTTAAATAACCTTCCCGTTCCGTAGCAATCACTCATCCAACTTTAGTCCACGTTCTGCTATAATGCAAGGACTGAATTGATTTCAAAGTTTTCCTTATTGCCAAGGAAGAGAAGCAGACACACATTTAAATACAAGCGCACAATGCAGTTTGTTTCAAAATTGAGAATCCATCAGAAGCCGAGCATGCTGCAAGGGAAATATCAGGTCCACTCGCTTTGATTTATGTACGGGTAAGTCCAGGGAGCTCTGAAGGGGGTTCTCCATTTGTCACTGTGACCGCGCAGCCTGGCATCTTAAAAGCAGAGCTCACTGAAAACAGAGCACTCCTTTGTGAAAAGTGACACTGACATTCAATCTAGGTTTATTTTTTGCAGGGGAAGGAGAGGAAGGAAAGGGCTGGTCTAGTTCCCCAAGCAAAGCTGGTTTATGCAATTTCTCTGAGCATCTGTCCTAACTCAGGTCAGGGCAGCCAGATATGCTGGCTTTTCAGCAGGGGCATCAGAAACTTTGCCACAGCACAAACATAGCCTGGGACTATGGTGGCGGTGATGGTAAAAGCCCACAGCTGTAGAAAATCAAACGTTATAAATTCGGGGAACTTCAGCTTGTTTCACAGTTTTAAAAAAAAGGATCTTACATTCATGAAGAGTTGAATTATTAATGCATTGGATGATCAGCACTGAAAAGAGTAATAACAGAAAGAACCTGTCTTATCCAATGTATCAGCAAAATTTAAGCTGCTGATGGAACAGGTTGCAAAGTCCAGAATTTCAAAACCCACTGACAGCTGGATAGGTTTTTTTGGTCACCTTTGTTTTGGCAATCTTTTTGGATTACATTTCATTCCTTCTTAGACTTCCTGTATCTTCCTCCAAAAAAAGGTAGCATCTATTGCAACTGAAAAGAAATATAACAGCGGAAATTATTTTCATTTTCATATTCCAGATCCTCATGGACTTCATATTTTGCCACAGACAACTGAGTGGTCTTCTCCTCCTCCCCAGCAGTACTTACTAACTCTGGGCTTCAGAAACAAACACATTGGAAAAATATTGGAAAAGCTGTCAAGTAGAAAACTGCCAATCTTTTCAGGTACGCCAACTTGCTTAATAGATGTGATAGCTCAGGGGTGACCTCCTCAATCCTTGCTGAATGAGGGGGACCAGGGATCTCTCAGGACCCATTTATCTGTGCCTGAATCTCTGACTCCATCAGAATCCTGTAGTTTACCCATCATCCTGATAGATCCTCTATGCAAAATGTACATGAAAAAACAGTACACAGTTTGTGATTTCATTTCTTAGACCAGAAAGCACCTTTCAGTCCTATCACTGAAGAAGAATCAAGAAGACATTGGGAGACCGTTGGGAAAAAGATCATGCCAGTCATGGATTTTATAAGAAGCACCAAATTAACAGTGAGTATAAACTTCATTTAATGTTTTCTCATGTGTGTGGCAGCAGAAGTCAGTGTGCATGTGAAAGATGTTTGCTTTTTGGTGGGTAGGTCATTTTGCTCATACTCCAGAAATGCTCAGCTAATTGTGCTAGGAATAGAGATCAGTTGGGTTTTAGGTACTTTTTAAAAGAAGCCGTAATTGTTTAAGTGTACCCAGTTTAAAATCACTTTGCATACAATTTTCTCAAACCCTTATGGCCTATTATATCCCTACTTCACATAACCACCAAAACTACTCTGTATATTTAATACCCATAATACTCTACACTTATCACAAGGCTCTCCATCAAGAGTTAATAATTGCTACTTGAAGTATTTCTAGTGATTTAGATCCTGATCCCTATGTAGTAAAGTATGTGAAATAACCTTCAAATCTGTTGCAAACATATTGAAGGTATATTAGTTAATTCTAGTCCATACTTTCTGCAATAATGTACACAGCTTTTTAGCACCATGGCTTTTGATTAGCACAAAAGGTCAAAAATCAAATTTGCATGTAGACTAGACTGTTTTAATTCAATTCTTAAATTATTCTCCTGAAAATAAGTGGAAGAAGCCTCTCCTCCCCAGATTGTAAATGCTAATGTTAATGCTTTTTCCCTAGCAATAACAGTTTTTTTAGTTTTCTGTATGTTGAAGGAATCGGAGCCATTTCCTCATCAGGGGTGTCTTAGCAAATCACAGGATTTATATTCTTAGGCTTTGATACCAGATAGGAGGTTGACAAAAACTGCTACTTAGCAACTCCTAGCAAGGAAGAAACATTAGCTAGATATTTGGGGGATCTATGTCTCCTTTATTCTCGGAGAGCAGCTGCTGAAACAGTAAGTGCTTGAACTCACAGGCTTAGTGGGAGGTAAAGGTGCTTAGTGCTTTGCCAAAATGGGCACTCATAAAGCATCTTCTTCAGTGTGAGGCAGGTGGAGCAGGCTGAGGGCACACATCCACTAGGAATCACACAGGTGCTTCTTTCTTATTCTTTCCTGAAGCCATGCGATGCTTCCCTTGGATGACCAAAAGCCCGGGTTATTGATGTGCAGGCTGGTAGGAAAAGCATCTTTGGGAAAGTAAAATATCTGCTATTGCCATGTGCATTGCACTTCAACATCTACAAAGCTAGGGGAATACACAAATAGTGGACTGGATACTGGGTACAGAATAAAACCCTGGTCCTTATCAAAGCTCCTGTAAAACTCCAGGGTTTGTTTGTCTGTTTGTGTGGTTTATGGCCCCACAGTTCTTTATTTTGGTATAATGTAGAGCTTTCAGATATGAGGTGCCAGTATTGCAGTTATTCAATCTCCAAAGAATATCAGGAAGAGAAAAAAATCTGAAAAGTGATATGTTTTAGATTCCCTAAAACTATCCTATTCTATAAATGAATTTGGAGGAACAGGACCACATGGTTTGAACAGAGACACATGGTATCTGGCATCCAGGGTATAGGGAAAAGAAAAACTTTCGTAAGAGATGAGAGCAGAGAGGTATGCTGGGATTGCTCAAGCCAGTCCCCACTAGCTGTATAAATTTACACTGCTCCTACACAGTAATATTTTCTACCAGCTCTGGACGCCACCTCAGACATCTAAATATTCCTGCTGAAACAGAAGAAGGTTCCCAAAAATACAGGGTGAAATCCCATCATCACAAGCCAGCAGCAAACTTGCCTTCTTTTCAAGGAGGTCAGCATAGCAGCCAGGTGGTTTGGGCAAGGTCTGCCCAAGGCAGAACAGGGTAATAGGTCTGAACCGTGCTCCAACAGATTTATAACCAGTCACCAGGGCACCAGCATGGGAGCTTGGAGAGAGAAGAGAAAAACCCCAAGACAGAAAAGATCATCACTGAGTTAGAACAAACAGCTGCCAATTCCACATCCATTATTGGTAGGAACATATTCACTATCCCTTCAGTTTTCGTAGCACTGAAATAGTCTGGGCAAGACAGAACCTCTGACCCAAAGAGTAAAATGACAAAGCGAATTATACCTGATAATGCAGATAGGCACAGAGCCAGAACTGCTCTGCTACTGGTGATTAAAATCTCTTTATGGACCTGGCAGAGATTTAGCCACTTTTGCTTCCTTGAGAGTATTCCAAAATTTTCTTCAAGCTAGAAATATGATTCCACCAGCTATCCGTCACACAAACTAAATTTAAAACTTCTGCAAGACAAACCTCAGATACAGGGATTAGTATTACAACTTACTTTAAGACAATAAGGGAATGTGTTTATTTTTAATTTTCCTTTCTACCCTCTTCTTCATTTGCAAATGTGCAATCCAAAATGCTTGTCCTAATCAGATATTTTTTTTTCACAGAAGCATCTCAGTGCTAAAGCAGAGCTTATTAAGCAATGGCAACACACTTAATATAAGTCAGTTCTGCCACCTCGGTTTTGCAGCTACACAGCTTACAGTTAATTATATGATTTGTACACGCGCCACTGTTGGTAGGACATGAAGCTAATGATTAAAAAAAGCAGAGCATTTTTCACTTGCCCTCTCATCTTCATAAAGAACAGCCAGTCCCATTTAACTCAAAAGGACATTTATGTATTGCAAAACAAGGGCAGTGAGAGAGGACACAGCAGTCTGGCCCCTGTGTACTGTCTGCTGCGGGTGGTAAAACCCCACAAGCCTCAGCTGCCCAGAAACACAGACCATGACAGAAAGGTTATTTTATTTGCCTTAAAAAAAAGGTATCAGTCAGACTTGCAGCTACTGTTATTGCAACCAAGATTACCAGCAATGACAAGTAGTTATTCTATCAAGTGATTTCACTGGGGTAATTTCTGCTGCTTTGTGCGCACCAAGTTTGCCTTTCTCCTCCTGTAGTCCCGTGTCGGTGGCACATGATGCTACTTTATAGGAGAAACAGTGGCCAGAGGGGCTTATTAGACTGCTGATCTCATAAAGGTGAGCAAAACCTACCATATGATTCACAGCATGATGCGTACACTTACAGATCTCACTGTTTTGATGTCTATTTTTTAATAGAAGGAAAGTGTTTACTACATTCAGATTTCAGCATACATATTTTCTGGAGCATACCAAGGGCATTAAAGAAACATGATGATGGATTTTCCTGCTTGTTATTGCAATACACTACTGAGCTGTTTGCAAGGCAGAACCTCATTCAGATTTTGAGCTGAAAAGTAGCAGTAAAGATGCCACAATTGTCAAGAACTACTGGGCACACCCCAGACCTTTGCAAAGTGGTGCACTTAAAGATGATAGTAACACACGCCACGTGTGTTGGATATGACAGATGCTGCTTTAAATCTAGGCTGACCAGCCACTTCGCTTTGCTTTTTCTTTATCATTCCTGGTACTCAGGAATTCATCTTTATGAATAGAAGTGGCATAAGCGATGACTCCTTTTTTTTTTAGGAACAGATTAAAGCAAAAGGTGGAGCTTGCATCCCAAAATTCTCAGTACACAAAGGGACACATTATTAAATGAGCCAACTCTTTCTCACCAAAGAAATTTTTTGAGAAACATTTAAGCTTGCTCTTTACTTAACCTTCACTGCACCTTCCTGAGCTGGTTTCAGCTTCATCTGATTGCTTGGCCACTTTATAATTTTTTTACTGCAGCTTAGTAGCCCCTTGAATTCTGCTATACTTCATGTAATTCTCATCATGTGGTTCAGTTCCCTGTGGAATTTTTTCTCCTGATAGCAGTTATTTACTGTCTCTTTCTACATTTTTCATTGTCACTGAAAGACCACCACTGACAATGTTCAACTTTCTCTAGTACCCCTTTTTTAAAACAAAACAAAAACAAAAACTGATGTTGGTTATTTATTTATTTACTTCCAACCTAATATAAACTTAAATAGTATCACTATGTCCACAGAGTACCTGTTGGCACAGGTACCCAGTTTGTTTCCTATAGCTATGTGATGTGCTCTCATATTTTTTTGGGGAGTCAAGTAAGGAAAAAAAATTTTTCTTTTTGCTTTTACTTTCTTAATCATTGGAGAAGCCCCCAACAGACACATCATGGTGAGAGAGGATTTCTACCTGCTTTTGCAGCTGATGACTCAATATGCTTATTTCTCAATGCTTACACAAAATGTTTTGGGTGGATTTCAAGAATAGCAGGGAAAAACCTTTTGCTGTATCTAAAATGTTGTTTGTCTATTTTATGTTGATAAGAGCCCTCTTTCTCTATCTCATTAACTGATTGCTTCTCCTTATTTTAATGTGCACAGCTGTCTCTGGAGACACAGCTATCTGGCTTTCACACACCGATGATTAGTTGGAGACAGGGCTCCATTTTCTTCCTTGCTCTATTGCTATACTAACTAGACTGTGTCAGACTTACAATTTCACATATCAGAGATCACAGAAATCCTTTTCCTTCCTAATGTATCCAACGACTGCTAGGTCAGACCCACAGAAAAGGACTTTTCAAGTGATAAAAATAGTTTGTAAGCAAGTTGTCTTGGTCTCCCCTCTTAGAGATGGGTCAACAGAAGTTCACAAGAAGGTAGGACCGAACGGCTCTCCTGACTCCTCAAGTCAAATCACCTCCTATTATACATCCTTGTGTCACATAATATCCTGCTCATAAATTGAGTAAAATCTGCCTTAGAACTAGCTGGGCTTTCTGATATTTCTATTCTTGCTGTAGCACACCGAAGACCTTCGACCTGAATTATAAGAAGCTTAATTGCCACCCCGGTATTACTTGTACCTATTTATACACAATGGTCCTTCTGTTATCATCATCTTTTATCCCCCCTTCCCTTTTCAGTTGTTTACTCTCTTTAGAATTTAGCCCTCCATTATGTTTATTGAGAAAAATAATAAGCTCTTGGCATTTTCATTAATAGACTAATCAAACCACACTTCTCTCAAAAGAGGTATCTTCTACCGTGCTGGCATCTCTGCTCCGTGATACTTGGGTTTAAATTAACCTCTCCAAACACAGCTGACTGGAGCTATCTGCAATACTGAAAGAACTGCTGACCAGAGCTCCTCTTCCCTGTGCAGCGTCTGGTGCTAATGGAAATTCATTGGCTCAGTTCTTCCTTTCTCAGTTGCTTTCATATCTGGACCTCATAGATTATAGCTGAATTCCTGACAGCAGTCTCCAAAGTATGGTCTTTTATTTTATATTACTTTACAATTATGCTATATATTATATTAAAAGGGATAAAAATGCTTCCATAAATAAAGGAAAAAAAGTATTGCTATTAAATACTCAAATTTTATATAAGAATGATGTTCTTAGTCATTTTGGTAATGATTTCTATAACCACTTGATGCTTTCCCAGTGCAAATTTCTGCAAAACCAAAATCAAGATCAGATCAAAAATTCGAGATTCTTTGTCAAGAGAAGTTGATCTTAAAGGCAGGACACTATTTGGGGGAAAATAAATTTAATTCAATTCCATTTGCCCTGCTCACTGTACAATGGGACCTAGAATCAGCTACCTGGGAACCAAAGCGTATGTAAATGGCAGCATCAACACGCCACCATATGGTACTGCCAGAACAAAGGTCTGCTAAAAATACTAGAAGTGTTTTTGAAAATCTATGCCAATACTTGCAATTTCAGGCACTTAAATACATTCACAACCCTGATTAGATGAATGGAAATTTCACTCAGAATGGCTGAGCATTCAGATAAGCAATGGCTACATTTTGTCAAGAATCTAGGCCAAATTGCTTTTGAAAATCTCAGTAGGGTGCTCATTTGCATTTTTGGCATCAGAACACTTTTGAAAATATGGTAGTAGGGCTGCCATCCATCAAACGCTTCAGCAGGTGCTGAGATTTTATGCAAGCACTTGGCTGAGTTTCTGTATGCACATACTTAAAATTTACCACGTGCCTGGAGGATCAGAGACCACCTCTGCAGGTTTTAGCTCCTCAAGGTTGTATATTTGAAAACTATGGATTTCCCTAGTCTGCAAACAAACCATAGGCTTAGCCATTGCATGGTTTCCTCAACCTCTTTACTGAAACTTTAAAAGCAATCCATAAAAGTCAGATAATATTTAACTGAGGGGATTATTGAAAAGCCATTTCCAAATGAGAAAATTGCATTCATGTTTGTTATCTGCTCTCTCCCTTTCACATATATTATGACTACATATTTATTTTTCTAGTATGACTAGAGAGATTGTGGAAAGAAAGTATTTTTCTCCTCTATAAAGATTGTCAAAAGCATTATCTTAAAGGTGCTGGATGCCATATTGCTTATAGTATTACCAGCGTAAATATATATGAAGATAAGCCTCAAGGCATAAGACTCAAAGGATAAGTGTGTTTTCTGTGACTCTCCTCTAACCCACTTGCTTTTCCTGAGAGAACAGGACAATTTCTGTGCGTGTTCACGTGTGATAGAGAAGTTGCATTACGCCAGCATCCTCGGCCGGTTGCAGCAAGTCACGGAACAGTCCCAGGTGATTAATCAAGCGATGGCTGAGCTAGCATCCATTCCCTATCTGCAGGACATCAGTCAGCAGGATGCTGAACTGGTGAGCATTCATTTCTAATCCTTGTTTTGGCTTTTGCAGGCAGGAAGGTAGGGAGGGAAGGGTTGGGGCAGAGTGCTACGCTGCAATTTTCTCTGGAAGTAATTTTTTTGAATGTGTGGACCTGAAGTAGTTTTAAAATCCTGCTGCAGTGCCTTGTCTGAGATGCTAATCACCTGCAAGGATGACTTTTACAGAACCAGCATGACTCATCTGTAGGCATATTTTTAAAACCTCTTCTTTTCCCCCCAAACCTGCCCGAATCAGTCTGGGAAAATGATTGCAATTATTCAGATTGTGCTACGTTAAGATACCTAACATCAGAAGCCACCTGCAGCAAAGCAGGCCAAATCTGGTTAAAGCATAAGACAGGGGAGAAAGGAGGAAAAAAGACTTTTGTTCCCAGCTCCATCTACAACTTTCTCCCTGGCTCTGAACAAAGCAGGCTCTCCCCTTGTAAAGTGAGGGCAGTGATGCAAGCAGGGCTGTGGCAAGACCGGGGTCATTACCAGCGTGATAATGCATCAATAACCTGCGACTAGAAAGTGCTGCAAGTGCATGGTTATTCTTCCACAAGGCTGCTCGGTTTCCTGACATGGAGGGATGGAGCTCATGTTCAGGCACATTTTACACATTTCAGCCTGGCCAGAAACAACAACAACAAAAAAATCCTTCCCGCAGTGCCCACATGTAAACGCAGCCAGGTTTTGATGAGCTGACTTTGGTCCTCTAAAGGCTCTCAGTTTTCCCAAAGCCAGCCCCTAGACGTATATGTCTGTGGCCCTGCAGAGCTCTGGGGATGGCGAGCAGCGGCCTGCAGCTGCTGCAAGGGCCTGCTAGGCTGTGAGGTCTGGGCTCCAGAGAAAGGGAAGCCACATGGCAAAGAGACTGTGTTACAAGGAGATATTCTCCTTTTGATGCAAGTTTGCCAGTATTAAACTTCAGCGGGCCCACATTTCAAGGCTGACTAAAGGGTCTGGAGTTATTGGTACATATTTCAGTTATAGGTTTTCTCCAGGGTGCAATATTTTCAGTACATCACAAGCTAGATGCAGGCTATTACACTGCTGCCTGTATCTTGTCATGTAGTAATCACAAGCCTGACCTCCCTGGAAACCTTTCTGAGGAAGGCTGCAGGCCAGCCCAGGCAAAGGTCCTCGGCCTGTCGGGGCAGGACTGGGCAGAGTGAGGGTGCCTCCTGCAGGATTTCAGTGAGAGGCTCGAAATCTTTCAGCAAAACACATGCTTTGTTTACTGAGCCCAAGGTAAAAATGTCTTTTAAAAGAAAAAGGCAGAAAATCTCTACCAGCTATTCTGTCCGGAGCATTAAAATGCATTAATTCAGCATTCATTTTTTTTTCCTTTGTCTTGTCATCCTCTTGTAAACTATATCTTTGGTCTGTGTATGCAAATGGAGGCTCAGACACCATGTAGCTGGAATATTTTAGGGAACTTCAGGCATCGCACTGTTAAGAAACACATCTGCAAGCACAAAATGTGCAGATTGGCTTCACTGGGGAGTAATTAATGGCCCTTGCCCTTCCTGGTGCCATGAGGGACTGCACCGAGCTCAGGACATTGCTGCCCACCGCTGGGCCTGCTCATCTGAACCATCCCACAGCGAGCAAAAGATCGAAAATCCCCTGTTGCTCCTGGGCACCGTTCTCCTCCCTCCACTGGGCTGTGGGCAGAAGGAAGCACTGGTGGGACTGGGCTATACTGGTGGGCCCTGGCAGCCTGCAACTGCCTGTGGCCACAGGCAGCACCCGCACCCCTTCATCTGTTTCTCGCTCCTCAGCTGTCTTTCTAGGAGGTATCTAAATAGTTTTAAAGGTATTTTTTTCATGAAGAAGACTCGTCTGGCCAAATTCTAATCTCACTTGTGCTAATAAAAATTTAAAGTAATTCCTCTGAGGTCATTCTAACTTTACATTGGAAAGGTGAGATAAGGCTTTATGACCTAGGAAGGCAGTTAAATTGTGTTGTTGGAGAATGCTAAAGATGCCAAATGTTTATTATCGCATACTGTATGAGTTGCATAAAGTTTAAAACATGTTGAATTTATAACAGTGCAATTTGCACTGATACTGCAAGGATCCCAAAGGCATTTCAGTTATAAACTCTTCTCTGTAAATGTCTTCCTGTAACTAAATAAATAAAGTCCTAATCTATAGCACAGAGAATTTCAGCTGAGGCCTTTTTAGATTAGTATTTATTCATAGACCCTGGGAGAATAAAGATCTCAGTTAGCTTGAACAGTTCAGTTGTTGAAACAAAACATGTCCAAGCTTTATGATTTCACTGTCACCATATTTGTACATGATTAATCAAGATGAATATTTGTCAAAAAAATCTATTTCAGTTTTAAATCAAATAAGGACAAGATATTAAAATAAAAATAAAAATTTCCTTGAAGGAGGGGATTTTCCAAAAAAAGATCAAAGATCAGCTTTGGGAGAATTACTCTGGTTTGCCAACTGTCCACTCCTATCGCATTCACCTTTTTTTTTTTTTTTGCCATCAGAGCCAGTAAAAAACTTTGGGTGATGAAAACTAAACCCAAAGCAGGCACAGGGCCCTTTTCATAATGAGCCAGGTTTCCTGGCTTAACTCCTTGTCCAAAGCAGTGAAGTCTCCAGCCTAGATGGGTTTGGGGGTGGCAGACCCACATCCCAGTCCCTACCCCGGTGACCTCTTTTCAACCAATTCAGGAGGAATTGCTCCAAGAACAGCCACCGAGAAATCCCTTCCTTCCCTGTCCTGTTCCCCTCCGCCTGCTCTGACGCAGACTTTGTGCTTTACCCTTTCTGCCCTTAATACCCTTAATCTCTGGGCTGTGTCTATTCTGGATTCATAGAAGGAGATTATCTGTCATAAAAGTATTCTGATGGAAAATTTCTGACAGCTTCTTGACTCTTTTCACATTAGAGTCAGAGGCAGAAATTTGCAGTTTTGTTTTTTATGAATACTGATGCATGACTTCCAAAAAAAAAAAAGTTTCATAAAATGTTTTGGCCAATAACGTTCAACTTAATGGTTGCACAAGCACAACATTAGCTGGAACTGACCCTAAGTAAGATTCAGAAGATACCTTTATCCCGTGCTGGGACAAAGACAGGGAATTTTAACATCAAAAAACCTGAATGTGAAGGTAAAGTTGAGGAAATACAAGTCTGTTCCCTGAATCTCAAGACAGCATATTTATATCTTGCTCAGATAAGCCTAAACATTGACATTTTAAATTTTATCACCTCTTGTACTCATGTTAGACTGCTGCCAATCTAGATGCAGAAAGGAGACAATTTCTGTATGAATGCTTACACTTTATTATTATTATCCAGTCTATCTAGTCTGGTAATGTGCAACAAATTTGGGAAGAGGCACCAAAAGCTATTTCTTGCATTGGTTGCTCCCTTTAAACAACAAAACATTTTGGAATAAAACTTACAGAGCACTGCACTACCCCAGGTATTACATACAGGTTTCTCCCAGTTTCTTCCTAAATGCTGGTGCTGGCTGCCCATGGGAGGATAACACTGAATCCAAACCATGTTGTTAACAACCCTGTGTTACTGAATAAGGAGTGACCAAAACGTTTTTCGAGTGCATAGAGAAGGTACAGGGTGAGGCAATACCGCAACAAACCTGAATTTTAGCCTTCCCTCTAACACTAAGCACAGATTAGCAAGTATTTTCCTACAGCTTCCTTTTATAGTTTACACTAGAAATTGTCAGCCTTGCTTTTATGGTCTGTTATGCTGAATGATGGGGAGGAGGAAGGGTCTGCCAAAGAAAAAGGATAGTAAAAGAAGGGAAAATGAGCTAGATACTCCCAGCTACAGTAAAAGCATCTCAGCTTTAGTGTTGTCCTCTTGTGCAGTTTTACATGCTGCCCTAAATTATGATACATTAGCCTTGGGAGAAATACTAAAAAGCAGTCATGTACGACACAGAATATCCCAGACAGCTAAAGAATGAAATATGGAACCTCTGTTCTTTACAACCTGAGTCTTCCTTAACCAAGTATAAACATTTCCTGCACAGAAACGTATAGGCTTAAATACAAATTTTCCACTGGATTTTTTCCCATTGTTAAGTATTTTATATCCACAATAATACAGTGTAATGGCTGAAGCAAAGATGAGGTGGCGGTGCTCATTGTGTGAAAGATGAGTAATAAAATCATCAGCGTACAAATGATTTTTTAATTAGGTTTTAATCTGTGTATTTAGAGAAGTTATTTCTGTGTGAATTCCACACTGATAATTTTTATCTTGGTGCCGCAGCTGCAGTCGTTAATGGCAGATGCCATGGACACCCTTGAAGGAAGAAAGAGTGATAAAGAACGTGTGTGGAATAAAATTGAGAAGGTAAAAACCTGCAGAAGGGGCAGAAGAGCATATTGTTCCTTGGGGAGTATATGTCCACCTGAGCCAGAGCTGTTCAAAAGGTAGAAAAGAAAGTAGGTGCTGCTTGAAAGCTGTCTGCGGGCCTTGAACTCTCTTAGCACTCAGACACTAACCACAAATACATATTCATTTCTTGCTTTAGCCCCTATGGCTGATCTTTGTCCATGTTAATAGCCTCTTGTGGTTATCTAATGAAAAAGAAATCTGCATAGCTTATTTTTGGCTGATAATTTTGCTTCTCTTCCATCTTTGTCATATGGGTACTGTGCTAATTGTTGGGGTGAGTTGTTAGGGAATAAAACTCATCCCAACAAATGAGGTCCCTCAGTGGAGCTCAAATGAGGCTTTGGTGATGTGAGATGTAACAGACATGTAAATGCTTCTCTGGAGTCTCTGCCCAGCAACCGGTCAATGTAATTCTGTAGGATTTGTGAAATGCAGGGAGCCTGTTGTTGGCTCTCTGTGCAGAGGAATTTGACCCGATGTAGTGAATAATAGGTCAGGCCGGGATGTAATGGGAGAATCTTACATTTGCACAGAGCCTTTCAAAACAAAGCAATTCACTCTGGGCATTCAACACTATTGACATTCCGCCCCTTCTGAGAGCAGGACAGCAATGCATCACTAGGAAGGGAGGATTTTGCTAACAGGTCACAGCATCACTCTGACACTGAATCTCTGTAGGGCCCTGGGCAGATGCACGCTCACTCTGTACCACGTCCGGACAACAGGGCACTGACAACACTTGACAGAGCACTTTGGCACTGACAGGACTTGACATTGTTCCACTGTGATACTTAGGGTTTACAGTCAAATCTCAGGGAAAATACCAAGAACCCAAGCTGCCTGCACTGCATCCATGTGAATAGGACAAGCAAATGGGACAGGGGTGTCTGAAACAAGTGACAGGAGCAGAGGGTACAGAGATGTTCAGAGCCAGGATTTATGAGTTATTAGGATTAAAGTTTCAGAAGGCATCACCTCTGAGAGTGAGCTGGACCAGGTGTAATGCCTCCTTGAGCTGTCACATAGGTGGCTCATAAAAAAAGTTTTCAAAGTACAGAATAGTTGGATAAAGTAACCAGAACTTAAATGCCCAAAATTATAGAACAAGTTGCATTTCTTTTGACTGTTCATGAGGTAAAGCAAATATTAAATATTCACATTGCTCTTCCATCACACCAGGATATTCTCTAAATCTCTCACACCTGCCTGCAGATTGTGTGAGAAGCTTTTGCAACACAAATACATGCAATATAAAATTACCTACATTTATCAGTTGCATACATACTTCCTGCTATAATAAACATTGATAAAAACATGAATGCAAAGAGTGAATAATATATTGACAAATAACTTATTCCCTCTGCTTCTTTGACAGTTATCTTTCTCATTCTCAGACAACAGACTTAAGTATTAGATACAAAGTTTTCTAATTCTTTTTTTTCAAAAGTTGGGATTTTAATTCACAGTTAGGTGTTTGAAATAGCCAGCCAGATTTTCACCACTCTGAACAACCAGAGAGAAAGGATTGTGGCTGGAAGTTAGACTACATATACCAATATCAAAATATTTATTAAAGGTTCATTAAAAGTCTGTTGATGGTGCTGAAAAGATTTCCATATATTTCAACAGACACCAGCTAATATTTCATTGTAATTTTAGTAAAACATCTTTTTTGTATGTGTGATGTATTTGTACATATACACGTAAATCTTTTATATTTCTCTGGATACTTTAACTTTCAGTATAATCCTAACTGAAATCAAGCTAACATTTAAAAATGGACTGGCATCCCAAATTACGCCACACAAAGCTGTGCATAATTCTATATTTAGGAATAAAATTTACTCAATGCCTGAAAATCTGCTCTCTGCATTTTAAAATGTGGTGCTTCAAAATTTGTTTGCATTCTGAAAATAATTTTTGCGTTTCATTTTTGACAGCTTGAATAACTGTATCTGATTTGGGGCATCTTGTTCCAAGCAGAACTCACTGTTTGTTTCATAATACAAAAATATTTTTCTATATTATTTCAGAACAAAGAACTGGAGAGCATCATCAAATAGTTCTTTTCTACTTTACTTTTTTCCAAAATTTAATTCCAGCATATTCAGCATGTTCCTAGAGAAATTTTCTTACTTAGTAGAAGAAGCAGGAAAGTACTCAGGGAGTTTGGCTTCTTGATGTTTTTTTTTGTTTGTTTGTTTTTTATGTTTCACTTAAATCAACCCTAATTTAGAAAGTTACACCAGGTTAAAGGACCCTAACAGATTACTACAGAGGATTAAATCTGGTGACAGAAAACCGATGTGGCATGGATTACTGCCTGTCACTTACTTGTGCAAGAACCATTTTGAAAAGTTCAGTGGTTCTCGATTCGCTCATCGCATGTCGCTGATTGTAGGAGCCTGCTAAGAACCTTCACATAGATCTAGTTACAGGGTAGTTATTTGTAATTTTGCTATTGAATTAATTTACATATATTGGAAAGTGAAAAAGAACATAAAGGAGTTTATACAATCAGCTATAAATGCAAAACTCTGAGAAGCTGACAGCTACGCTACCACCAGTGTAGTTTGGCTCTTGCTATAGAAACAGCTGTTGCACCTAATGAAAGCACTCAAAATTTTTCTCTAATGCAGCAGAATTATAGCTGTGCCTATTTTCCAAACGGTTAAAGGGTCTGTCAGAACTGCCGTTACAAACCACTGTTTTCAGAGTTTTATATTCCAGAGTCAGCCATAAAAAATTCATTCAGGCTGAAATCTGACGTACCAGGGCACAAAGCCTGACAACCAAACACTTTTCCTTTTGTCACAGTGGAGGGTTTATCAAATTAGTTTGAAATTAATCTGGGCAATTTTGAATTTACAGCAGTGACAAAGTAGTAATGTATGTGTAGCTTCAAGTGTTTTGGGCATTGCACTGCTCACCCAATTCTCTGACAAATTTATGTTTTTAAGTGAACCAATTTTTCAAACGGGCTAATTATTTTCAGAAGCTTTAAATACAACGAAAAGAAAAATGACTCAGTGATTAGCTGGAGAAAAGGGAACATCACAGCTCAGGAGATGCCTTTCTCAGTAACAGCAGGCTATGGACTCTGCAGCCACAAGGAGACCTGACCCAGGACAGCCTACATTACTGTGGGAGATTAGGAAACATCCCCCTGCAGAGGCTTAACCACATTTTAGATATCCTTGTAGAATGGAAAGGAAACATGGGCTGGGCCAGCCTCTCCAAATCCCTTTCATGCCTGTTCTCTGGGATTTTACACTTTGACATCCAGCTCCCTGGATAAAACTGAGCTGAGCTGGTATCACTGCACAGTGGTACATGGGGCCATTGCCCCTCCACCAGCCAGTAGCAAGTCCATGGGATGGAGCTGGTGGGGTGGCAGCTCACCGTGCCCTGCCTGGCTGTGTCCCCACTCCCCAGCTCACAGAGACTCACCAAGTAGTTTAGACCCTTCCATGTGTCCAGGTAGTTGGATATTCTCAAATACACATCACGACACTCACTGCAGTGAGTGCCCTCTGCCTGCCAGGCTAGGGCTGGAAGCCACGATGTTCCTGGGTATCAGCAATTTGGGGAAACCCAGACACCTGGGGGTAACACCCATCAAGCACGTAAGAGAGGGAAGGAGTCCCAGTCTTCTTCAGGAACAAATGTATTCCTAAAAATTCCCAAACTGAGCTTGCTGGTGCCCAGATTGCTGGGCTTACAGCAAGGCATCATACTAGGCTTAGATTAATTTTTTTTTAATTACTCTCTCTGTCCACATGTATTGGTTGAATCTTGAAGGTACTGAAATACCACACCATCAGCATTTTATGAGAAGGGACTTCTCTGAAGCCAGCCTTGTGAATGCAAAGTCCTCATAAAGTAGCCAGTGGGAAACACTATGGGGAAAAGCATCACAGCCTGTCTTATAAAGGGGCTTAAGTCTTCACCAGTGAACAGAGGCAGAAAAATAATCGTTCTTACTGGATTTTAAAGTGTGGATTCTCTTCTTAGTTCTATAACATTCGAATTTATTAATCTAATGAGGCTGCCAGGCCAGCAGTTTGAGCAATGACTTCCAATGCACAAGGCTCAGCAGCAGTGAACAGATCTCCAAGAGAGACAGAGGGGAACTACCCTGATAATTCAGCTGGATCCCACAAGAGTACTGCAGCCACTGAGTTTTAAGGAAATGAGGCACTAATAGCCAGGTCTGGTCACTGTTTGCTAGCTGCTTTCCTTACAGAGTTACGAATTTAAGTAAAATCTGCCGTGAGTATGAATGTTGGGAGTAATGATCAAGCTTGGCCCTAAATAACTCAAGGAATCATGTCTCTGCATGGCCATTCTAGGATGTTATAGCCACTATGGTCAGGTGGAAGGGCTTATGGTATCTAAGATACCTAAAGGGGTAGGAAGCAGCCTCCTTTCCTCTACAGAGCCCTCAATTCTCTGTAGTTTTATAACAGAAGAAAAGAAATAAGGGGGATTGTTTTCCTGTCTCATAACAATAAATTCATTAATATTGTTATAGTGAGAGGCATTTAATTAAATAAAGAGATACTTTAGGGCCCATCAACCATAAACTTTTGACATCCGAAGAGAAGAGAGCCCAATAAGGTAGCAAGTGCCATATTGGCTCTGTGAAGATAATAATGCAGTTCTACTTCTCTCCTCCATTTAGCCCCTAGGCTTTCATAGTGGTTTCATAGGATTCTCTTAACATCATTTGAACAGCCAAAGGATAGACAGGAGCTGGCAAATAAACACTTCCCTACACTTCTACATGTGAGACACTTCATAAAACCTTTACATCTGAGTTTACCTCAAGGGCATCACATACTTTGCAATTTAGATAAGTTATTATGCCCATCATTTGCTGAGCTCAGTGGAATGCCTGTTTCATAAATCTGAAAACAGAGCAAACATGGATGAGTGAATAAAAGAACAGATGT